TTTTACTATTTTAGGAAAATAATTCTTACCTTGTAGGGACAAAATCTTGCAGCCAGAAATAGGAGATCAACGTTGACAGTATAATAGAGAGAGAAGTTGCAAATCCCTTTAAAATGTTGTCCGCATATTTTATAACAGCAGCAATCACCAGGCCTCCAAGTGCCTGGAAAAATAGCAAGGTTTGGATTCACAAACTGGTAATTTGATTGAGAGCATCTATTTTGACACCATGCACCTACTTTAGGAAAATGCCAACCACTTATTTTATATTAGGGATATGCACTGTTGAAAATAAATATTGGGGGAGCAGTTCTTTCCCCATTGAAGAAATTGTTGATCACATTAGCACCATTAAATAAGTGGAAATGCTTGTACTGTACATTTTTAGCCACATGAGGAAGGGCATACAGAGAGATCATTTTAAGCATCACAAAATCACTAATGCTTTCATGCTTTTAATTTGCACAATACATAATCACATACTTGCTATATATTTCCCAGATTTTCATTTAGAGGTTTATGCTAATAATGATAGATGATTCTTTGACTATAGAATTCTCAGCAGCTTCAATGACACCCATTAGTTTCTCCAGTTACTTATAGAAGAGTAAATCCCCTAGTGCTTTCACAGAAACATACAACAGAAGGTCTCACCTGTAGAACAACCACCACCCAAGTAAGTTTATTGTATCCTTGAAAAAATCCATTCTTTGACAGTTGTTCTCCATCATAAATGTAAACACCCATCAGTCCAAATATGCTACCAAAAAATCCTGGAAGTATAAGATTGGTTTAAAAGCTTCAGGTGAAAAACATGCAAATGGGTTCCTCGTCCTTAAAGGCTACTCATGTATTTCTGATTTTAAAACTGGACAGTCACTTGCAATACTGTCACATCAAAATCCAATCAGTTTGCTGTTCTCTTTTAAAAGCTATTCTCCACGCTTGACACTTCAAGTTTTGTTTGCTTCCATTAAGATATCCTTATATACTTATCTTCCATTGCTTTCTATTGGAATGGAGTGATTTTTACTTATGGCATGCAGCAAAATTCAGTTAAATGCAATTTCAGTTTTCCTGAAACTAGTCATGACTGAAGGTTGAAGTCACCCTATAACCTGGAGAGAAAACAAGGAAAACACGCAGTGGAGGAAGTCGTCTCCGGCATAGCAGGAGCAGCAATTAACAGTTCACCAATTCAGACAAGAATGGGATTCTCCTGAGCCAGTCTCAAGCACAGTGAATGTTTACTAGTGGAGACTTAATGTCAAAAGCTGAATCTGAGGTGAGCCTGCAGAGTTTTTAATTTGGTGAGTCCAGTGTTTTGCCAAATGGGAAGCTTTTCCTAACCCCTGAAGCATGACATAATGTAAGCAGCTATTCTGTGACTGATGTCTGCTCTAGTCTTGAGCAGGAAAGGGGCAACACTTTTTACTATTCCTTCTCTGTGAAAAAGTGATTTTCATCACATTTCTCAGCATCTGAAAAAGGCAGAATTTTGAATTATTTTGAACAAAATAACACCTTCTGTTTTACAAGAAATAATTCTTTTTGTAGGCAGAATTAAAAACATAGGTTTCATTCAGATTAAACTATTTACTTGTATTTTCCAATTGATCTGTTAAAATAAATACAATCACCTATTCATACATCCTTATTATGACATTGGTGCACCTTAAAAACTGTTTTTTAAAACAATTCTAATTTATTTTCCCATTATTTTCTATAGTTTTAATAATTCTCTATGGACATGAAAATGAAAACCTGGTTGGACATATGGATTTTTTGTATTTTAAGAAAAGCTCTGTTTCAGAGCTCTTGCTTATGAATGCCTTGCTTCTGAATAATACAATGTCTGAAGTGGGCAACTACCTTGCACTTGCAGAAAGAAGACACCAACCTATTTTTGAAAATGCAATTTCACATTTTATGTATTTTGTGAAAGCTGTATCATAAAAGCTGATGGTTTTATATGTATTTAATATTATTGTTTAACTGTATTTATGGATTTAAATAGTTTTAAAAAACTTTATGAAATATGACAACATTATTTTTGAACTGAAAACAACCTCAATAATAAACACATTCTACTGAACTTCCTATTGAGGCAGATTAAGCTCACTACAGAAGTAAATACAAACTCAAGGGACCTGATTCTCACTATAATCAGACATTTGTGTCTGCTCTGATTTCCTTGTTTCACAAAGCAATTACTGGAACATTCAACATATGACCAGGCCATTGATCAAACATACTTCTGTGTACATACTTCTGTGTGCTGCAGAAAAATCTGAAAATGTTTTAGAAGAGATTATTGATTTTTCAACAATTATGGAATCTGACTGGAAATGATTGCAGATATTTATTGCCCATGAAAGCACTTTTAGCATGGAAACTGAGAGTAATAATATTAATAATAATCAGCTTTCCTTGGAAATGGATTTTATATTGCAGATCCACCCAGGACACCAGCTCTTACCTTAAATCCTGGACCAATCCCTAGCTAGCAACCCTTCTCTGCCCCCAAAATTCCCTAACATAACATTTCCTGATGTATTCCCTACACCCTGTTCAAGAAAACTTAGTTTGAATACACAGTTTCCATAAATACAAGCAGAAAATAAGGAGAGGTTTTAAATCCTTTCACTATACTCAGGTTTCAAAACATTATGGTCATGTAAAAATAGTATAATGCATTCAAAATCAACTTCTGCATTTTTAATTGAAATCACTTATAATTAAAATACAGTAGTAGGAAAATAAAGGAAAAAAAGATGGCTTATTGACTCACTAACTACGAAAGAAGCCACATCATCTCCTGTTCTTATAGTGCTGCACTACATTCTACCAGACTCAGTACACAGCTCTGATCCACTAAATCATCTCATGACTTAACTTTACACTGTGGATTTGATCCCTAGTCCATTCTAAGGTGCTGGAAAGGTCAAATTCTGCTCAATGCATTCATTCAAAAATGACATAAATAGTTATTGCCTGCAGGTGAAGACTAGGGGGGATTCCATTAGAGAAGCAAAGGCAACAGTAAGTTTCCTGCTGTAAAACAGGAACAAAAATATATTGTTGATGTCATGTTTCCAACCCTCTAAACTGGACAAGATTGCTTTGAAGGGAGGGAAAACTCGCTCAGGAACACAGAGCAACTCTGTTGCCTTTAATATCTAGGGTCTGGAAGATCCAAGACAACCTTGGGAATAGAAGGTAGTTTCTCACTGATAGGTGCACAGTAGGTACAGCTATTTAAACAGTTAAGATGAACTGGTCTTTTGCATATGCCTCTCCCTAGTGATTATGCACACAACTAAAAGAAACTGACCTTTGTATTGAAATAACAATAATTAATTACCTCAACTTTATTCATGAACAAAGCAGATTTTATAGCTTGCACTTTTAATTCAAAAAGCTGCCTACCCAGGCACAAGCAAGAAAATGTGTTAATTTTAAAACCTCTCAAAATACTGACTTGGAAACCTGTTTTGTTTAAATATTCCTATATTTTCTAAAAAATAGTACAAAAAAAGTCAATTGACAGCTTCTCCACAAATGTACAGATACTCTATTAACAAAGTAAATCAAGAACTAGACTGAAACCAGAAAATAACTGCTATAATTCCATTTAGCAGAGGTTGACTTTTCATTTCAAAATAACATATATGCAGCATACTAAAATGTTGGTGGTATTTTTTATTTATACATTTATTTTGCACAGTTATCTTAATGCTTCAGAATGCAATATCTCTAACAGATGATTAAAATTAAACTTACCAAGCTGAATGTTCCTGATCCACACAGACTGCTTAGTTTCCTTTAAAATTTTCTCAAAATAAACCCCAGCGAATCCACTAGAAAAGCACGCTATGAGAACTGCAATCAGGCCTACAAACTGTGATCCTGCTGAGTGCTCCTTAGCAGGTGCTGCTTGAGAGTCTGAAGGCCACTGGATGTAAAAACAGTTACACAAAATTCACTGATGAAATCAAGCCATGAGCATCTACAAAATGCAAATTTGTTTTCCACCAACAGTAACAGTTACTAAATACAGACAACCACATACTTGTCAAGTTTTGTATTTTGCACCATAAATACTTTCAAAGGACTGCAAAGCTAAAATTTTTTTCCAACTTATTTGTAAGGAGTAAAACTGTGCCTGAACTGGGAGAATACTCATCAGTTTAAACAGCTGCAGGATTTATAAGCAAGAACTTTTTTTTAAATCCCAGTGTGACTTATCATGGTCATTCTCTACTACCAACTTGTGCCACCCAACAGTTGGTTACCTTGCAAATATAAGCACAGATAGAAAATTACTTACACCATCTGTTTTTAAGATGGGATGAATTGTCTTTTTCATGTGCTCCTCTTTGGTGATTGTGCTGACCAATTAAATCTTGGAATGTGTCTAAGGCTAACTGAATAAAATGCAATGCCATGGACAAAAACTTTCTTAGGAGTCTGTTAAATACTGTCAGACTGTTTATCATTACTGAATTTAATCACCATATCTTTTTCCAAATCCTTAAGTTTTAAAATAAAAATTTCTAGGATATACTAAAATTTGCTAAAAATTCTTAAATAGTCTTCTATCCCATGATCCTGCCCCCTGAAAACTATGAACTCTGGTACCTGCACTATTCAGAACTGAGGCAAATTTTGCTTTTTGAAATCCAGAAATTCCGAAGTAAATTTGCCATGCTGAATCCACAGTACAAAGTGAACACAGCCTGTACTGGCAGAAAAGTTCTGTGAATTCTTAATACCTAAAGAAATGTGCTAATAAAAATTGCTATCATTATTACTTGCAGGTTGCTCCAGAGGCCCTGTCATATTCTACAGCAGAGCGCTGGGTTACAAAAGAGATGTTATCTTCTGCCTTTGAACCATTTCTGGTGTCCTCCAGACCTGGCCAGTTGTGATTCGTAGCTCCTGACTATACTCTGGTGCTCATGTGCAGCTGGTAGAATCAGAAAGCTGGATAATCAGTATAGAAATCCATGTTTCTTTAATAAACACATCAAAACCCCACAAACCACCTGCTAATATTTACCTGCACAAATGCCACTCCTGTCATCAATATTACTAGTGACAGCCACTGGTATACACCCAGCTTCTTGCTCAACATGGACACAGAAAACAAGGCTGTGGTGAGAATTTTCAGTTGATATGTAACCTAGAAGAAGCAGGAACAGTTACTAAGTTACTACTACTATGCCACAATTCATGGGTTTTTTTTTTTTTTAAACTTACAGAGAATCGAAATATGCAATACCTGGTATGTGGCTGCATCTAGGTTTGACAGTGCTACATATAGCAAGTTGTTCTGAAGAGTGTAAATTCCTGAAGGAATAGCAAGTTTAAGAGTTTCCATGGGTTTGTTAAGGATTTCATCGTGTAGCACTCTGTTCAGAGTCCGTAAATTGCATTCTACCCAAAGAAACAGTAAGAAATAGACATTCACTAAAAGGAAAGGAGTGAAAAAAAAGAGAAGCAGCAATGTTCTGTTCTTAAACTGTTACCCCTTTTTATAGCTATCACTATGCCAAGACCTGAAAATACCATCTATGTTAGTTTGACTGTCACAGGCCTTGGATATGTAAGGAAATATCTTGTGTCTTCCTGCAGTGTTTTCCTGCAGCCTGGAATATCAGAATGAAAATGATTATTCAAAATACTTTGAGTTAAACTTACTGAAACTGTATCAATAATTTAAGATAATATATTAAAGAGTACAATCTAAAAAGTGCATGTTTAGAATCCTACAGAGTCACCAATATTTATGCACAATGACATTTTTAAGCTGTTGAAAATCAAACAGAAACCAGATAAATTCAGTTTTAAATATACAAAATAAGAACAAGAGTAAATGTGAATACAGTTTTCTTTTTTAGCTTAAAACTATGATTCTTCCTGGAACAATGAAATTGCTGTTTCCCTTCTGTGTCTGCTGCTTATCACAGGTTTCTAAATTATCATTCATGCTTTGGACACACAAAAAGCTTTTCATTTTTTCCTATTTCTACATACACATTTCTTAAAATGCCTGAGCAAACACAAACTTTGAGATGTTGGCAAAAAAATTTATTCCTGCTCTCCTCAGTATCCACATTCTCTTAAGCAAATATACAGTATGATTATTGTCCTTCCAAGACTATTTCTTACACAAGGAAAAGGGAAATGCTTTGTTGTACGCCTGTACTCACATGGCTGCTTTGCAGTTGGCACTACAATACAGCATATTGATTAGGAAAATTACTTGGTGCAAAATTTGACACATACTGCTGTCTTTGTAGACTAATAGAACACAGGCCAAAATCTTCAGAAGTTCAGCAATAACTACTGCAGTAGAGGATAAGTAACGAGGGCCTTCTTCTTTCAGTGTCCGAGAATAGCGCATGGTCAACACTAAACTTGTGGTCTGAAAAACCAGGATGCCCAAGGAAAGGTACTTTAAATTGGCAGACATTTCTTGACTTTTTCTTTTCTGAAACAGAAAAAAATAAACAAACCCAAAGGTAATACTGCAGATATTGGGAATCACAGATTTCCTTATCTAGGTGAAGGCTCAGAAGGTATTTCTAAGGTGAAGGTATTTCTGCTGCGGTACAGCAGAATGCCCAGTACTCCTGCTGCAATGAGCTGTTCCCAGACTGAAGAGATCTTCCCACTCTTCCACCTCTCCCAAGTCTGTCAGGTTGCAGTCTCTGCCTTGCCAGATTGAACCATGCCAGCAAAGGAAGGGCGAGGGTTGGGCTGCTTTAAATGAAAATGCGAGGTATGCCTGGCAATGAAGGGCAAGGAGAGTTGTGGGAAAGCACAGTTGGAGAGGAAGACATGATATGGAGAAGCTTTAGGGGAGGCAGCACAAAACCTGTCCTGCTGACTACCCTGCTCACAAAAAAATTCATTGAATATAGATGACTAGTTGACTGCAACTGCTTTCTCAGGCTGCACAGACTACCACAAACTTTATGTTAGTAAAGCTGTACCATCCCAATCTCTACTAGGAACTTCCACCAAGATAATGTAGTTTTCTTTGCAATTTGTCACCAATTTAAAGGATTAACTTAATTGCAGAAGACTAATAGAGACAGTAATTTTCATTTTGCAAACACATCATATGGCAAGGAAATTTTAAAAAGCTTGCTGCTACTAGAATATCACATAATTTTTGCTATCCTTCATATAAAGAACTTCCATACACAGAAACTAATGCTTTCTATAAAAGATAAACTTCTACTCCCTTCATTGCCAACTTACTCAAAAACAGAGCCATTTTTTATAGTGCCAAAGTTAAATCAAACCAATAACTAGAAGTTTACAACTACGTTTACAAGCAAAAGAAGAGTAATAAGCCAAGACAATGCACATGGTTCTCAATTTCAGAAGTCTAGACACAGCACATAAGCACAGTCTAGACTGGGTGCTTATGGCAGAGCTTTCCTCATGTTTTACACCTGCAGGCACACAACTTCTGACCCATTAACTATGCAGCTTTATCCACGCTGCTCAAGGATGTGCTGGTACCTCTAAATATTTGTGGCTAGAACTGAAGCAGTTTCCTGCTGACTGCATTTCTCTAGCTCAAGATGCATTTCCTTGTTGGCTTTGTAGGCATTTGGAGAGTTACACTCTTCAAAAACTTCTGACTTGCCCTTATCTTGTCTCTAAGCATTTATAGATTTTCTCCAGTCAAGTATTCGAAGTCAAATTATTATCTATATGACAATGACACTTAAAAGACATTGCAGTAACCTGCAAACAGAAGTGAATTATCAACAGCCACAAAGATATGAAGTACACATTTCAATCCTACACAATAAAATTGTTTATCTCAAAAATCATACCATTGTAAAAATATTTGTAAAAGCAATATTTGGCACATACTGGTAAATAAGGAAGAAAAAGATAACAGGATGCAGCAACTGAGGAAGAAACACACAAGGTTCCATTAAGAAAACGGAAGATACTTCTGTATGAACTATAATCTCATTTAACTTCTGAAGAAACAAATACTAAAGATACAACTGCACGGAGCAGTATAAATCAGACAGAAATATAAACTATGGAGCAGAAGAAAGCTGCAGACAAAATTTGCTGTTTTCCACTGGTTCTGGTGGAATAATCCATTACACAAGGATGTTAACTGGAATTATGCATCCTAAACAACAAAACTGAGATGATCTGTTTGTTAGTTGAAGAACAACAGCTTTGAAGAATAAATTTGCTACAGCTGAGAACAAGAAGGAGAAAAAGAACAGTTCCTGCAAAGGGATGAAGAAGGGACATACATGTTCAGAGACCATGCTTTCTGGAGAACTACCAGCAACGAAAGGAAGACAGAGGGAGAAAAAGGCAAAGAAAAAAAACAACTGAAAGAAGATACAGAACTGAATTTCGCTAAAAGGCTTGCCTATGATACTACAGAAAGCTGAGTTTGCATTTATGAGTCAACTTGAACAAACAATTTCTTTCACTATTTCCATCTATCTCATTTTTTACTATTCAGACCTGAGAAACTGGAAATAAATACCAACATATTGCTAAGACAAAAACCACTGAATTTCATGAAAGCAAACCTACAGATAAATAAGTCTTTAAAACTTTAAGTTTTAAGTTTTTTTGTTTGTTTTGTTGGGGTTTTTTTTTTGTTTTTTTAGTTTTCAAAGCGCTTCATAACAAAATACAGATTATGAGAACACACATATTCCTCCTGACTCAGATGCAAATTTCTGCATTCTGTCAGCCTGTGAAATGACAGTTTTATGAATTTTCAAAATCATCAGATATCAATTCTGTAACCTTCAAAACAGGTAATAATATTAAAAATAATGTTTACTTTTTTTTTTGCTAAAATACAGCCATCTATGTATGAAGCAACTTAAAATGTAATTTTGCAAATAAATCACTAGTATGCTGTTAATGAGCAAGTACCAAGGCAATCAGCAAGAAAATTAACCAACAAGCACAAGTTTGATAAGCCCATCAGTAAAGCCATAAAGAATGCATACCACATCATTAACTTCTGTCTTGTCTTCCTCAGTAGTCATGATAAAAAAGAGAACTTTCCCCAGATGATATATCTCAAAAAGGCACCAGCAGAAGTAAATATTTCCTTATTGTACATCACTAATGCATTTCCAAGTTTCATATGTTCACACAGAATGGAGCTTAAGTGTCCAGCATGATAGCTGAAATAAGGGTATTTATTAAAAGTTGTCCTGTCAGTGGTCAACAAGACAGGCTTGTAGACAGCAAGTGTGTGAAGTCTCATGCTATACTTACAAGTTGGTTCACAGAGCAGGAACTAGAGATCTGAAATGTACATATGCCAATAATATAACCAGTCTTTCCTAAGCACACGGAACACCTTATCAGCTCTCCTGGTCCCTTTTCTTTTATAACACCTGCTTATCAGCTCGCGGACCTCTGTGCAAACTGTGAACAACCCACAAAAGGAGAAAAATATTGAACTTTAATATTAAATTTTAAACTTGGGCTGTCTTCAACTCCAGTCTCACAGCACCTTTAGATTTACAGGTGACTATCAGAGCTGTAAGCGCCCAGTTTTAGCCATGAGCTCTGCTACCCTCACAGAAGTCACAGAACAATGAACTATTGTCTTCAGTAACAGCCCACACCTGGACTGTCTTAAACCAACAATGATATTGAAGTTCCCGCCATATTTCCTGTACAGAGTTACAACTTAGGTTTCTTACAGGGCTTTGGATGCACTCCTTGGTACTCTGCAGGATGCATCTGTTTGAAAACTCAGACTTAGGTTTGCTGATTCAAAGACTGGAAGTTGAGTGGTGACATGAACTCTGTCTTTTGAACTCTATCTTACAGTGGGGTATGCTAAGGACCTGCAGTTCCCTTACCATAATACTAAATAACTCATCTCAGGGATTGGGCTCATTTCTCTTCTGTTAGTCTATGTTAAAAAAAAATAAAAATCAGCCCCTTCTGCGTCATTTCTTCACACATTTCTTCAGTGTGCCATGGACAGCCCTGCAGCCACATGGAAGGCAGCCCTATACGGGAGCCAATATGCAGGAAGCCAAGGTGGGATTTACAGCCACGTAACATTGGGATTCAGTACACACAGGTGGATAAGATGGATTCTATGTGAACAGCTGTTCTCCTTGAAAGTAAAAAAGGAGAAAGGCCCTGGAAAGGTTTTCAGAGCACAGAACAAAGCAAAGCAATCTATACAGGAAGTAATATTTTCAGCTCAAAGTACCATACTGTGCAACGGCTGAAGAATAACTCTTCAAAGGAAGCAGATTTTTTAAACCAGAAAATCACATATTTCCAGCTCATAATATTAATTCAAAAATGAATACATTTCTGACTTTTCATCTCTCTTTGTAATACCTCCAACCCAGGCTAAAATTTAATATTTTACATTTTTCTTTTATTTCATCCCTACACTTTCCCTCCTAAAATAATGGTAAATTCTAATATTTGCAGATGAAATTAGGCCATAATCAATTTGATTTAATGAACAGCACACTAGTACTCCTTCATATTAATCAGTCTACTACAGAGCAGTAAGATTATGGGGCTTTTCTTAACGTTAAGGTTTTGTTTTATAAAGATCTGATGGTATAAACTTTCCAGGTTTTCAGCTGCTAAGTATCTACCATTGCAAGATCCAGTGAAAAACTAAGGATTAGTTTATGAACTGATTCTATTCTTAACTTCGTAGAAGGACTCAAAATTTCTGTTGAAGGACTCAGAATCAGAATTACAGGGAGTATCACAGAAATTTATATGAAAAACTCCAAGCACTCAACATTATCTGAAGTAGATGACAGACAAAGAAAAAAATTAACAGCAAATTCCATCAAGTCTCATAACAAAAATGTAGGTTAAATTCACCAAAATATTTGACAAAAATAAACTAGAAGCTACTTATTTCCTCCTCCATACTCTGTCACAAGTAAAGTTTAATTAAAAAAAAAATAAATAAACAACTAGTATCATGCTCCAAATCTTCATAGTGATGTCATTACATTAATTAAGTTCTTTCTAGCCTAGCTGACATCACTGACAGTCTTTTAGAATAAAAAAGCCAAGTTACAGGAGTTATTTTTCTTAGGTCTTATTCCATTTTATGACTAATCAGTTTAACATTGCTCAACCAAATAAAAGGCATTTGTGTATTAGTTAAAATGCAAAGCCCAACACAAAAGTAGATGACCAGGCTCTCAAAACTGCCAAAGTTTAAATTTTCTGTGCTACTACACCAAATTCTCCACTTGGGATCTGCTGGAAAATAAACACTGATTTAGTCTGCCTCTGTGTCATTCCAGTGGTATGGGTATGGACACATCTCCTGGGCATTTATTGATAGCAGGATAACAATTAAAGAAACAGGATGATGTTCTCATATTTCTCTAATGAAATATGAACCTAGTGCTGATGCTACACCTATACAAATACAGTAAGCTGTCAACAAAGGAAAAGCACAATTGGAAGGTGGAGTAAGAGCTAACTCACAGAACCTGAAGAACCTATTTTTATGAATTCTTTCTGTGCTTTGCTTACTTTCTACATGCATTGCCCTCTTCCCTGTGCTGGATAACACAAAAGTAACATGTCATTTTCTGCCACACAACTACATTCCTCAGAGGAAAGTTCTATTCCATAAATATTCTTGGTTTTTGGTTTGTTTGGGTTTTTTTGGAGTGAATATAGCTTTGTATTTATCTGAAGTAGTATATAATACTACTAATATAATACAGCAAACACTTTAAGTATAGAAAGAAATGGAAGGAAGGAACCTCATGAAGTTCAACAAGGCCAAGTGCAAGAGCTTGGATGTGGGCTGGGCTAATTCAGGCAAAGGCTGCCCTGAGAGAGAATGAGAACTGGAAAAACTCCATGACTGTTAAGTGTTCAAGGCCAGGACAGATAGGCTTTGAGCAACCTGGTCTATGAAAGGTGCCCCTGCCCATGGCAGGGAGTTGGAAACAGATGATCTTTAACATCCCTTCCATCCCAAACAACTCTATGATTTTTTGACAAATATCCCACATGGTACAAAGGGTGCACAGACCTCACCAAATCCAGTTAAGTGGTGCTAAACTGCATTCTGAAGTAGATTTTACATACACACAGATAATTTAACTGCCATATTTGGAGTGCTATAATTTGACAGTACATTTCTTTCTCCCCTCACCACCACATGACAAAACCCTGTAATTGTAGTAAAGCACGTCCTAAATATTTTTAATAATCTTAAACCTTGTATTTCTCACTTTAAAATGTCACTACTGTGTTTTCCATTTTCCTCATACTGTGAACAGATTTCTTATTTGTTCCCTCCCATAAGCTATCTACAGTTGCCAGCTCCCCAAATACCTGGCACTTTGCAACTAAATCACTGCAAATCACTTCATCATTTTAAAACTTACCTTGCCCTTTCTTTTGTTTTCCAGTTTCTTACTCATTTTTCTCGCTGGCGACAAAGTGCACTAAGTATGCTATGTAAAAAAACCAACAAAACTGTGCTTCTCTTGGAGCTTGTACAGTTCTTCAGAAGTGTGGTTAAAAACAAATCCTCTAGCAAAGTTTTTCCCTTACTCTTTGAGCAGAAACAGAGGAACAAAGATTTTTTTCACATGAAGGTTTCCTTCAGGCAGTATTTCCGATTTCTCCATTTACATAAAAAAAAACCTTAATTGGTGAAAAGGATTAAAAACATAACTGCATTCAAATGATACTTTGAAGACAAGCTTATCAAGTAGAACACAGTAGATCACTGGTGGACCTTGCTCCTGCAACGTCATCTTGTTCCCTATGCACAACCGTATCTCGTGTACTGGTTTTGGCTGGGGTAGAGTTCATTTCCTTCACAGTAGCTGGCAGGGGGATGTGTTTGGGATTTGTGCTGAAAAGTGTTGATAACATAGGGATGTTTTCACTATTGTTGAGTAGGAATTACACTTTTCTACCTCCCACCCCACCTGTGAGGAGGCTGGGAATGCACAAGGAGTTGGGAGGGGCACAGCCAGGAGAGCTGACCTCAAGATACCACAGGGATATATCCCAGACCATATGGAGTCATGCTCAGTACATAAACTGGGAGAAGAAGAAGGAAGGAGTGAAGGTTCAGAGTGATGGTGTTTATCTTCCCATGTCACTGTTCCACATGATGGAGTCCTGCTTTCCTGGAGATGGCTGAAACACCTGCCTGCCATGGAACATGGTAAAAGAATTCTTTGGTTTGCTTTGCTTGCATGTGCAGCTTTTGCTTTACCTACTAAACTGTCTGTGTCTCAACAGACAGGTTTTCTCACTTTTACCCTTCTGATTGTCTGCCCCATCCCACCAGGGATGAGTGAGCAAGTGTTTGTGTAGTGCTTAGTTGCCAGCTGGGGTTAAACCACAACTCTTGGCCATTTTAAAACCATGCAGATGGTTTTCAAAACCGGCAAATGCACCTACATTTACACATTAAATGGATTCACACACTAAATGGTAACTGTTAATGATCAACCAGTCATTTCTTCTCAACTTTGCTCCAAAACCTTGGCTTCTGCCAAAGATAGTGGAGGCTGTATCAGTGATTCACTGGCCATATATATCACTCAACCAGGAAATTCCATCACTGCCAAGTTTAACAAAGGGAATGTAATTACATATTAACTATTAACTAAAGTCTCATTTCAGTGAATGCTATAAATTGCTGGGGGCTCAAACCAAGTTTTCTTACATGTTGACAGAAAACTCAGCAGAAAGGGAACCTGGGTGAGTTCTTTTATGAGCTCCCAAAGGTTTTCTGCTTGTTTCTTTCTTTTGTGGGGAAAAAAATAGCATTCTAATCTATGTATCAGGCAGGAAGAGTAAAACATTGTGAATCTGAAAATATGGAATCTGTGGCTAAGTGCTCTTTAAGCCCATTACCTTTATCCTTTGCACCAAACCTAAGAATCCAGAGATCATATTTTTTTGACTGATGAAAATTTGGTTTGATGAATACTACAGCAATCACATATTGAGTAAAAATATTCAGCATTCTGGAAATTCAGGCCCTCATTGAGCTAAATGTTAACACCAGCATTTCTTGTAAAATGAAGACTTCAACTCTGCTCAGTAGAGCATTAGTTTTATGTTGACGTAACAGTCACTAAGCCAAACTCTGCCTGCCAGCACAGAAATTTGATACAAGCTGCCTGAACTGAATCCAGTTTTCACACAGCACACACACTGTGTTCATTGTATAGATCACAGTATAGATAGATCCCAGCAGCCACATTCAGACTCTGGGAGCAAGGAGCCATTCAGTTTCCAATCTCAGTTCAAGTGCCCGCCCCTCCAAAAGCACACAGGAGTGCAACGCCATGGACCAAAGGACTGCTGGAATGCAGTTCCTGCAGATGTCTCAAGCCAACAAAGGAGCTTGACTTAAGATGCTGAAAGACTGAACACTGTATCCAGCTGGGGTTCAGCTGCAGCTCACATGTATGCTATTTATGAATTACGAGTCAAGTCTGGGTGCTCAAGGCAACACAGAGTGTCAAACACCTCAGCCAAGGTGACCTACTTGGAGTACAGTAACACAAACTAGATCCTACTGGGAAAATCAGTCTGTAGGCACTGCAGCATGCTAGTAATTACAAATAAAATGAGACAGCTGAACAGCACTGAAGCAGTATAAATGTAAGACAAGGTTCAGAAATCCAGTGGCAAAATCCTGAACTTCTAACCATCTGACATTATCATGCGAGATCCTAAGAAATAGAGATGTTAAGAATCTCTCCTCCCCTCTAGAGACATCCTCCACTGATGTGCAGCCTCCTGAGTTCCAGCAAAGGCACTTGGCCTGCACAAGCAGCTTGAATATGGCAGGAACTGAAGTAACCGGGGAAGAACAAGCCCAGGCAGCAAGCAATTCAAGAACAATTCGGGAGGAATACTGTGTCTAGCAAGCCCGTCCCAAAGATAAGTACGTGTTGTGCTCCCTTAACACTGCCAAATCCGGAACTGTTTTAAGGGGACACGTGACTTGAATTCCACAGGTACTTGGCTCAGATGATCCCTGCCTTTCTCTTGCTATTGCAAACAATAGCGTCACCAGAATAAGGAATCAGGCTGTGTAGGCAGCCTGTAGGATTGCTGGAGGCAGTTACTCCTAACAATACATTGCCCTAAAGAAAGCAAATTTATACTTACTAGAACCAGTCTTTCCCCAAACCAGTGTTTTTGCTACACATACTATTTCTACCAATCAGAAAATGATACATCCCAAAACAATCCTTATCTAACCATTCTTATCTACCAGAACTGTGATTTTCAATCACAAGTTCTTCTCACAATGCCTAACAATGTACAAGGGAATCATGAACTACAGTTTCCAAAGGGAGAGATTATTGTAAATCACTTTCTCCACAACTGTCATCTCCCTCGAACTCACCCTGAAGCCTGCAGCTCAACTCAGTGAGCACACTGATAAGTGCAGTGCCTATGAAGATAGGCAGCCCCACAGATTTCGAGAAAAGCAGTCCATTACCTCATTACCTAATGTTAATTCTAAGACCCACTTTGTCATTCTGTACATATGGTCTTTGAAAAGCAAAGGTTGTCTTAGATCCCAATCCTCCTGTGTAGAGACCACCATGAAAAATAAAATTTCCCTGGTGCTCACTCAGTTTTAGAAAGGTTTGTTGCATACGTTCTTTATGTTCCATATAACACACCCCTCTTTTGCTCAAAGCTGTGTCAGTCTTCTCCACCCAATCATAACTTTAAAATATTTCATCTGGAATCCAAATCTTCCTCCCTCTGGTTTAAAACATACTTTATAGGATTTAATAAAACAGAACAACTTCGGGTACCTTCTGATATTTATCTTTTACCTTTTGGTTTATTCCACGATATGCATTATTACATTTGTTATCTCTCTATCTCTGAGTTTCTGCTTAATCCACAAGTGTTGTACTGCTAGAGCGTTTCTCAATTCAAAAATTTGGTATGAAATTATGATAACCATGCAAACGCTTGTAAAATGTGCATTTCTGTGAACTTCACATCCAGCACCGCATCACACATAGTGAGCATCTTCTCAGCTGAGCACCAGCAAGGGAGTCACAACCTCAGCAGCACTGACACCGCTCTGGCCAGATCCGTGCCCCTTCCCAACTTCACACACGGCCGCTTCCCCACAGCAACTTCAACTTCACCCTCTCCTCCCTCTTGCCCAAACCGCTCCATTTCCAGACACTTCTCTCGGTGTGTCTCTTCAATCCCACCCTTTCCCTCCCCAGCCCTGCTTCCCGCCCCATTCACTAAGCCCAAACGCCTCCGGCCCCCAGGCCTTCCTCGGGCTCCCCCTCACGCAGAGCCCCGCACCGCTCCCGGCAGGGCGGCCCCGGCCGGGCTCTGCTCCCACCTGCGCGCCCGCCCGGCGGCCCCGCTCACCGCCGGCCCA